TTTCAGGTTTTGTACGCTGCTGCAAAGGGGCAGAAGGAGGCTTCCTGAGGCAGAATAACTGAAGAAAGAATTTTGGCATGTATAGCTTATCACATTGCTCAGTAATGAGAAAAGCTGTAGAATGTCTTTCTCTACTCCATCATCAGTTAAGAAGCCCTGTCCTCTACTGTTTGGGTTTACCTTGCACTTTTGCTGCTTCTCTGAAGAATGGAAATTTTGCCTACACAAAGACGTCAACAGGTCTCAGCAGCTGTGAACCAGGCAACATACAGGTTCATATTGCCCTATGATCTTTCTAGGTGGTTTTGGGTAGGTCACTATTATTTCAGGCTCTATTCTCTAGGGTGTGTCCAAACTGAAAAATTAAAGCAGTATGACACCACTTTAACTTCCATGCCTCTGTGCTACAGAATCCTGTGATTTGTAGTTTGGGGAGGTGTCAGAGCTCTGACAGACTAGGCTGGATACCTATAAGCATGAATCTATAAATCCCAGGCTTCTGTAGGATAGAATCATTACTGTTAAAGTGGTTCCAAACTACTTTAATTCTGCAGTGTGGATTCACTCTCACTCTCTGTTATGAAGAGCACAGGCATACGGTTTGCAACATGAAACATTCTAAATAAAGAATGAAATCATAATGCTTACAGCATTAGATTTTCTAAAAAAAAAAAAAGGGATAGAGACAGGATATTTACAAATCTTCTATATAAGCACTACAGACATAATATTCATAATATTAAACATTCTAAATAAGGAATACAGATATAATGGTTGGGATTCTGTTAGGAACATCTGCATGCTTAAGTTTCCCTTTTCAGGTGCTGCAAAGGTTGATATTCCCTTCCTCCCTCTGCATCATCTAAAGCATTCCCTGATAAGCTCCTGAAGCCATCCTGCACATCTATTTCATGCTTGGAGCAAGCAGCCAGGTTCAGAGTAGCATCTGGTTAGGTCCCCATAGCCAGAGACATAGGAATTGTAGTAACTCTGAGACCCTGGAGGATCCTGGCAGATCTCAGTGCTAATGTCATCATTTTGTGTCTGGTGACAGGGATGTTGCCAAACACATCTTCAAGCCTGCCTGTAAAGAATGGACATGTGGGGTGGTGTCAGGGCATTCTCAGTAAGTTGGGAAAAGTATATGGCTCGGCGTAGAACAGGCTTGCATACAAATATTTACACTACCCTATGAGGATGTAGGACTGAGGCTAATATTTACAACATAAAACATTCTAAATTATT